TCTTCCTCCATCGCGAGGACTTTAATTCCAAACACAGCTTGCACAGACTCGCACACGTGACCTCAGGAGTCATCTCTCACTGGCAGACCCCCGCCACCTGCTGCTTCCCTCCACAGCCTGAATGGTCCTCTTGCCCATTCAACACAGATGAGGATAAGTGACTTAACGATCAAAATGAAAACAGACATTAGCGACAACAATTCAGTCCTTACAGTAAACCCTGTAGCAATCTTTACACTGCGGAAAAAAGGAAAAAACTGAGCTTGTCCACCTTCTAACAGAACTTTGAAAAAATATTAATTATAATTTAATTTTAAGAAAGAATTATGTCTTGATTACAGGTATCTGTAAGTAAAACTCTGGAAACTGGTTCTTGAATGAATAAAATAATGGGACTAACAATCTGTATAACTCAGCTGTTACACTGTCTGCCAGAAGTTAATGCACTGCTCCACAGAGCAGCCGTTATGCACAGTTAATGCTATTTAAATTTACTAAAATTAAAACTAACAATTTAGTTCCTCAGTCGCACCAGCCACATTTGAAATGCTTAGCAGCCCACAAGTGGCTACTGTATCAGACAGCACAGATACAGAACACTTCCTTTATCACAGAAAGTTTTCTTTGACAGCACTGCTACAAAGGGAAGAAAATCAACTTCAAACTAAAAATTAGAGAAGACAATTCGATAATCTATTAATTGATGCCACCTAGACCAGCCATCAGCTGATGATCTATAATAAAACATTATACATTTTCATATAGATTGTTGCCATTCTTAAGCACTAGAGAATGATTTTTAAATACATATTTTAAGAATTGAATTTACATAAATATATTTTAGATAATCAAAAATACACCATATTTGCCACTCTCATAGAACTTACAATCTAATGGTGGAAAAACAACAAACAAGGAATCCTGTTAAAGGTAAAGATCTGTTGTTTTTGAATCCCTAATATCAGCAATATATCTAGTTACACTGGGAGCCCAATAAATGTTTTATAAGTGAATAAATGAAATAGCAAGTAAGCTAAAGCCTTGCTCCGTATGACATATTATCTTTTCCAAAGCAAATATATATTTTAAAAATAAAATCATTGCCTCTAACGGCAGTTCCAACTATATCACTGCTATAACAAAGAAATCAGGACTATTGATAATTTTAATTTTTATTTGATGGACTTTTCATCCCCAAATATGTGAGAGAGATTTTATTACAGTCTGTAATATGTCTAACAGTTGTCATTAACATTGCAGAATAGTCTTCAACTCAAATACAGAGTTCTATCTCTAGTTGAAAAGCTTAGGCTTCTGATGTTACAAGCAAGCATTTCTTCTGATTGGAGGGAGCAGAGAGCGGGGGTGAAAGTCTCCAGGGAGAAGGGGTGGGAGCAAAGCCTACCGACTCTTCCTCAAGAGTTGGGCGTAACTAGTCATCAGCCAACGTGAACTGCCTGGAAGAACTCTGTCCTCACTAATCTTGTAGCAATTGCCTGCAATCTGTCAGGAGAAGGGGCAGAGAAAGCTCAGATGTGCTGCCCCCCGCCCTTGATAACAACCACCACGGTAAAAGCTTCCAACTGAACCTTTAATTGATCAACAGTTTGTTCACTAAGAATCTCAATGATTACGAAGAAGACAAAGCCCTGACACATCTTAGAATTTTCTCTCAGGGGAAAGAAAAATAAGGCTTGTTTAACAATGCTGTAAAGTTTTATGTATTTATACACAAGAGTCTCAATTGCTGTCATCCTTGGGGTGTATCCTATGGAACAGATTCTTTTCAATCCAAGTCAAATTGGATGGCGTGGTAAGAAGGAACTCTGCTTAGGATCTTCTGGTTTATTTATGATCCGATGAAAAATCAGGATTAGGATTGAGTAGTTTCTCAAAAACCGTCTTGTTCCAAGTAAGGTGACTACATACCCAGTGTTGCCCACTAAATTCCCAGTTTAGGCCTGCAGTATGGAAGGTTTAATCTGGGGGCATCTGTGGCTTCACAGAGGAAATTTGAGCTGGTTTTGAAAATGAAGGGAAGCTTTATGAAACACAGACAGAAAAGACAGTCTTGAGAGAGGACAGACGTGGACAAAACGTGGGTAGTGTGCTTGGGGTGGGTGTGAATTAGAGAAAGCACCAAAGTGGGATAATAAGAGGTTGGCTGAGGCCTACTGGCTACTGGACATGGGTTACAGAGAGTACCAGAGGGAGAGAAAGGGTAGGTTGAGCCATCCTGGAAAAGGCCTGAGCCACATTCTAAGACATTAGCTATCTCCTTGAAGGCCTCAAGCAGCTCAAAGAAGCGTGTGTACGTGTTTTGGAATGGAGAGCGCATAAGCAAGAGGAAATAATGGAAGCAGGCAGATCAATACCTAGTACAAAATAAATCAGGCAAGAAAAGACAAACTAGGCAGCAGACAGGAAGAAACAGCAATGACTCTTATTACCTAACATTTATAGGGCACCTATGACTACACTAACAGTAATAACAGCAGCTAATGACTGCATAATACTTATTATGTGCCAGGCACTGTGGTAAGGCACTTTACACATATTAACTCATATGAACCTCAAGCTTATTATCATCATATTCTACACATGACTAAACTAAAACAAAGTTTAAGTCACTTGCTCAAGACTGCACAGCATTGTAATTGTTAGAAGCAGGATTCACTCTATGCTCTCAACCTCCAAATGATCCCATTTCTGGGTATCCAAGACTATATGAAATGTTTTATTTACTCCATATCATGTAATCTGTAAAAGCACAGTAAGCTGTGATAATTATTACATTTTACAGATGAGGAAGCTGAGGCTTAGAAAGTTTAAGTAGATTAACCCAGGTTGTGAGAGTTTGAAGTTGATGTGGTTAATTACGCTACTAAACATTTCATGGCAAAATCAACAGGACTTGCTTATCAACTGATATACAGCAGTGGTTCTCAAAGAGTGGTCCAGGGACTCTGACCTTTTCATAGGGTCTGCAACACTAAAACTATTTTCATAATAGTGCTAAGATGTTATTTGCCCTCTCACTTTCATTTTCTCACGAGATCCGACTGAGTTTTCCAGAGGCTTCATAATTTGCAATACTGTGACAGAGTGAAAGCAGAATCAAACGTGAGAATCCACCCAGCTTCTTTTAAGCTGGGTAGTAAAGAGATTTGGAAAAATGTAAAACAGTGCCATTCTTCTGACCAAATTTTTTGTTTGGAAATAGACTTATTTTTCATGAAAATATGTTTTATGTTAAGCTTAGTAGGTTTGTGTTTTTACCTTTCCATTTTTTAAAATTATTTTTTCTCCTTCCTTTTTTATTGGTTTGTATTGTTTTGAAACAAATTATCAATAATAACTATTTAAAATATATTCCGTTTTCATTTCTAATATGGTAAATAATGATAGATAGACCTGACATAAACCAAAGTTCTTTGATGTCCTTGATAATTTTTAAGAGTATAAAGACATCCAGAGACAAAAAGTTTAAGAACCACAGATACACAAGAAAAAGACAAGCAGGGATCAAAGATGACTCCCAGATTTCTAGCTTGAGGATCAGAAGATGGCATTGTTTATTAAAGACTAGGAATACAGAACAAAAACCAGGTTTAATAAGAATCTGGTAAAATCAACTGTGGCTTGTGTCTCGGTTTGGGCTCTAAGCCAAGCCTGAGACAGGGATTCTTGTTCAAGTGATTTGCTGGTGGAGAATTCTCAGGAAATAGGTACTAAGGGGAACAGTATACGGCAGGGAAAAAGGACAGGCAAGAATGTTGGTTTCATCTGGAGATCAGCTTCAGACTGAACCCACGGAAAAGCACTAACCGTGTGGCAGAGTCCATCCAGCCTTGAGGCAAGGCCAGTTTCCTACTTCCTGTGTGGGTCACTCACTGAACCTGGG